TCTAAAAATACAAAGCTCCCCCCCAAATTTCCTGTCCTCAAGCAGCTTACGTTCTACTAGGAGGGAAGGTAAAGTAACACAAAATAATTTTAAGTCGTTGTGGTTTAGTCGTGTCTAAGTCTCCATGACCCCTTTTTGGGGTTTCCTGGGCAAAGATACTGGAGAAGTTTGCCATTGCATTCCCCAGCTCATTTTACAGATGAGGAAACTGAGGTTTACAGGTGAAGAAACAAAGTTAAGTGACTTGCCCAGGGTCACACAGCTAGTACGTGTCTGAGGCCAGATTTAAACTCGGGAAGACTCCAGGCCTGGCGCTCTATCCACTGAGCAACCCAGCTGTTCCATTTTAAGAGGAAGAGAGTATTAATAACTGGGAGGAAACAGAAAAGGCCTTGTGGAGGAGGTGGGCTTCAGTCGTGCTCAGGACTTTGTAGGGTTTGAAGGGACAGGTAGGAGTGACCACATGTGCAAAGGCATAAAGTAGCAGGATTGGGGGAACTTGATAAAAGGCCAGTCTGAGTGCCCCGAGCGCAGTGCCTGGCATACAGTAGGTGCTTAATAAATGCTTGTTGGTTGACTAATGTGTGTGTATTGTATGACTAATGAGTATATGAATCGGAGTATGCAATTTGACTGGGAAGAGGATCATGGGATTTAGGTGTGGGGGGGACCATCTATGTAATTTCTTTCAAACCCCCGTTATTTGATGGGGGGAACAAGCCCTGGAACCCAGGTCCCGGGCTTAGGGTATCTGAAGGGCTGCTAGTCGGAAGGCAGATTTGCCTTGGTCTGCTTGGCATCTGAGGGCAGAACAGGACAACGAGAGAAAAGATACTTTTCTTTGGAACCAAGCACATGTGACAGAGATGGTGGGGAACGGCCCTGACCACCCCATTCAGAACTTGCCCAGGACACAAATGTCTGCTCCCCTCCGCCTGTCTACCCCTAAATACTGCGTAAAACATGAGGCCAGGATTAGAGGGAGAGCACAGCCTCCCGGTCTGCCTCATTTCCCTTACCCCTTTCTCCATTTTATTGATGGGGAAACTGAGGCAGACAGGTGAAGTGAGTTGCCCAGGGTCACCCGGCTCATAAGTGTTTGAATCTGGACTTGAACTTGGGTCCTTCTGACTCCAAATCCACCTCGATTGACCCTATGACCTGAGACAAGTCACTACTTGCTCAGGCCTCAGTTTCCTCATCTGCAAAACAAGGGGTTGGGATGAGATGCCCTCTGGGGGGTCTCTACATCTGGGCTTCCACCACCTGTCCTTATCGAAGGGTAAGGGATTCTTGTCCTGGCAGAGCAGGATGGGTTAAGAACCGTGTTTGGGAGTGGGTCTGTGTCCTGTCCTCTCTAAGGGTTAATTCTTGCTAAGGCTCGGCTGGCTCAGTCCCTGGAGAATACAGGTGGAGCAAGGAAAGGGGCCTGCTGCTAACTCAGACTGCAGGTGTGTCTATTGGTCCCCTGGGCTGGGCATGCAGGCCTCTTGACTCGGCCTCCCCAGCTGAAGGCTGGCTCCCACCAGCTGGGAGGGAGGGAGGGAGGGAGGGAAGGAAGCACTTAATCCATTCTTAACTGGGTTATATTTCTCCACCCTCCTCCCCCAAACCCCATCTTTCCCCTTTACTTAAATCCTGGGGAGCGTGTATTTCTTGGGAGACCAGAGTTTCTAGAAGGGCAGGGGATAAGCTAAGAGCTGAGTCAGCCCCCAGGGTGGAAGACTGGCTAGGGAGAGGCCATTCACCTGTTCTCATTTCACCACCTTGCTTTGGAAAGGCTGTGGGCTCATTTATAGAGATGTTGAATTTATTTATTTACTTGGACTAGAATTTTACAATCAATGATGCTGTATTTTTAGGGTCCCCAAAGGAGTCTGCATCTTCCAGAATGGCCAGCAATTATCCTTGTCTTGTCCTCCAAAGAGCAGGGCCTGCTCAGCCTCCAGCCTCTCCGGGAGTCTCAGAGGTGAAGGAGATGACTGCAAGTCATTTGTCCCCTTGGAAGGGCCACCAGGAGGCATGTCAGGCTCTGCAGAGCTCCAGGGGAAGCTTTTCAAAGCTGGGCTGGCCACGCTCGTCCTCTCAGCCCACCATCCTTCGGCGGTCCAATTTCACAAACATTAAATGCTTATGATTTGTGTGCAGCGGAGTGGTGTGGAGTCAAGAAGAGCTCAGTTCAAATCTCAACTGACACTTAATAGCTGTGTGACCCTGGGCCTGTTACTGGACCACTCCGTGCCCCTGAGCAGCTCCCAAAGAATAAGGTAAACATCTTCATCGATAGAGAGAGTTTTCACACAGGGAGACCCCCACATTGATGAAATCACTGCTTGGAACAGCAACAAAAAACTGCAAGGCTCCGGGAACACAAATATTGAAATTCCTACAGTGCTCCCTGCTGTCCGGAAGCTTTCTACTTGGGTGGGTGAAGGGGGAGTGAAGGGGTGAAGCTAGGGACACGGTATGTATCTATACAGACAAGTAAATATAAAGCGTGTTTAGTGGATCTGTGATCTGGGGGCTCCCTCTAACACCTCTGCCCACACTCTCATCCCCCCACCTCAGGCATGCTGCCTCCTCCCAGATCCATAGATCCAGCCCTAGTCTCCCTCCTGAGTTCTTGCCTTGCATCACACACTGCCTGGCGGACATCTCCAATTGGATGTCCTGTAGGTATCTCAGACTGAACACGTCCGAGTGTCTGCAGACATCTTTCTCCCCCCAAACCCTCCACTCTTCCCAACCTTCCTATTTCTTTGTTGGGCATTACCATCCTTCCAGTCACCCAGGCCTGCAACCTGGGGTTCTTCCTTGACTCCTGGACATTTGCACTCACCCCACATACCCCATCTGTTGCCAGCTCTTGTCCTGTCTACCTTCACACCCTCTCTCCTATGTCCCCTTCTTTCCACTCAGACTGCCCCCACCCATGCAGGTGTTTATCACCTCTCCTCTCCACTGTTACAAGAGCCTTTTAATTGTTCTGCCTGGTGGCTCCTAAGTGATAGTTTTTGAAAATCCCCAGCCCCTTAGGTTTACCCCCTAGAACCCAGAGGAGAGAAGTAGTCAGTTATCCTTTGGGGAGGGGACGAGGCCTGCCAGTTGGAGTGGAAACTGGAGAAGTTACTCCAGGGGGTTGATACATTTATAGTAAATTACAACATAGTTTCTGTCCTAGATTTTAAACTTTTTGTTAAATTGTGAAATTTAGAGGAGTTTATAAGAAAGGGTGAAATAAAATAAGATTTTAAAATATTTTTTAAAAAAACGACCCTACCCAAGCCAGATTTTATCAGCTTTTACAAAGGGTAATTGCTAAACAGATAGAGCAAGTATAGTTGTTACAGAAATACCCCACCCCCCCAACCAGGAACACATTCTCTTCCTACACGTGCACATATACAAGGTCCCACAGGACAGCCTGCTCACCAAAGGGTAAAGTCACAGCCCCGAGAAGTCTAGGCTTTGGTATCTGCTTTAGTTGGGGCAAATAGACAGAATTGTTACTGGCTGTGTGCCTGTGGTCAAGTCACTTAACCTCTGTCTGCTTCTCCTCTGTAAAATGGGGCTCATCATAGTACCTACTTCAATGGGTTGCTGTGAGGATCAAATAGCATTTGTGAAACTCTTTGCAGACTTTAAAGTACTTATATAAATACTAGCTATATTATCATTGTTATTTTTCTCAGTTCTTTGACCCTGGAGTCTCTCTTCCAGACATGTGAACAAACATCTTACTTCAGTCCGCAAGCCTTTATTAAGCTCTTACTATGCGCTGGCCCAAAGGTCTCAATCTAAAGGGGGAGACAACATGCAAGCCGCATATATAGAGGGGGAGAATGGGAAAGGCCTCCTGCAGAAGGTGGGATTTGAGCTGAGTTTTGAAGGAAGCTGGGGAAATCAAGGATGAGGCAAGCTTTGTTAAAAAAAAATTAAAATTAAATTTAAAATAAATTTTTTTAAAAACTCCAGTGACAGGTATCCATTTGCTTTCAGCATTTTTGGTTCGTTCAGGAGACACAGAAATACCAGGAATTGGCCTCCAGCTTGAGGCTTACATGCTGCACGGTATGGGAAGGCAGGTGACCTTGGGGACAGTCTCCTAACACGGGGACCCGAAGATCCGTGAAGATCCTGCGACACTGCCCCTTTGGGGGAGAGCCCAGGGCACAAGAGATGGGGATGGAGGGGGGGGAGGGGATCCAGGCAGGTGGGTGCAGCTGCTGGGGGCCAATCCCCCCAGAAAGTCCCATGGGAGCTCCCGAGGGGCTGCCTAGGGTCCCCCTCCAGAGTGGGGTGGGGGCTGCGGCCGAAGGGGCCCGAAAGAAGATCGCGTAGCTGTTAGCGTTGGAGGCAGAGACCCCATCTTCCAGGGGGGGCCCTGGCTGGGGAGGAGAAGGACAACAGGGAGAAGAGGGGGTTAAACAGGTGCGGCACACCTGTAGCACCGGCTGCTGGGGATGCTGAGGCTGGAGGATCTCGGCAGATCCCCGCCACCTCCCTTTAATGACCAGAAAGAGGGGGCGTGGCCAGAGAGCTGGAGAGGGAGGGGGAACTGAGGAGGGGGCGTGGCCACAGGGCTGGAGAGGGCGGGACCAGAGAACAAGCAACCCGAAGGGGGCGGGGCTAGGGAGCTGGAGAGGGCGGGGGAACTGGGGAGGAGGGGCCGGAGCCAGAGAAGAGGTGGAGAGGGACGGTGACAGAGAGAATGACAGAGCTAGAGGGCGGAGAGGGAGGAGACCGGGGAAGGGGCGGGGCCAGGGACGGGGAGGGCGGGGCCATAGATCGGGGAGGAGAGGGTGGGGAGCTTGGTAGGAAGAGTGGGCAGGGTCAGAGACAGAAAGACGAGAGTGGAGTGGGCGGGAACGTGAACAGAGGGCGGGGCCAGAAAAGGGGAAGGGAAGAGGGCGGGTCCGGGAGCGGAGCAGCGCGTGCGCTGGGGAGAGCGGCCCGAGTGCGGGGTCAGGTGTCAGAGGGCGGTGCCAGCGCCCTCCAAGATGGCGGCCTCCATGTGCGACATGTTCTCCTTCTGCGTGGGCGCGGCGGGCCCGGCCCGGGGGCCCGTGGAGGTCCGCTTCGTGAGCAGCGCCAAGGTGAGGCGGGCCAGGGGCCCGGTCGCCCCCGCCCCCGCCGGGGACCCCCATCCCAGAGCCCCAGGAACCTCCCCAGCCTCGGCCCCTCCCCCACCCCCTCCGCTTGCCCCCTGCTGCGGCCCCGCGATTCCTCCGGCCCGGCCGTGACGGCGTCCCTTTCGTGCTCTGACAGCTGCCGTGGCTCCCCCGTGCTCCCCGCCCCGACCAGGCTCCTCCCCCACCCTGTCCAGGCCGGACCATTCCTGGGCCTTCGCCCCTCCTCCGGCCCGGCTGCCGGCCTCTTCTGTTTCTCACGCGTGGTTTTGTCTTTTCCACCTCTGGGCCTTTGCCTCGGCCGTCCTCACGCCCAGAGTGTGGCCATAGGACCCCCGGTTCCCTTCGAGGCCCAGGCTTCAGCGCCGCCTCCCCCAGGAAGCACCTTCCCGCCCCCCTTGTTAGCGCCTGACTCCCGAGGAGAGGCCCCCCCACCCCATTCGGTGCCTTGGGCCGTACATAAAGCTCCCCTGGGCCCCCAGAGGGCCAGATGACCCCGGCCAGAAGAAACCCCAAGTCCGGGATGGGGATGAGAATCAGATACATTCACCCCGATTGCATAATCCTCACCTCTGCCCCCCCAGTTGTATGATTCCTGCCCCCTCCCCTTGCCTCGTTCCTCTCAATCCCTCTCACGGCTTCGCTGCTGGAGGCTTTCCTGGCCCATTGCCTCCTTCCCCTCCCCAGAGAAGGCTGGGGTTGGGAGATGCCCAGGATCCCAGAGCTGGGAGTGTCAGGGGCCCACACCCCTTGGCTTGGGCAGCAGGTGTCCGTCTTTGGGGGCCCTGCCTGGGTCCTCCTCTCTCCTCCCTCCATCCTACTTCACTTGGTGACCTCCCATGGATTTCATTACCATCTCTGCTGATGACTCTCAAAACTGCCTTTCCTGCCCCATCTTTCTGCTGACCCCCATCACCCCACCTCTCTGATGGCATTTTAGACATCTCAGATTGGATGTCCACCATACATCTTCTGCTCAACATTCCTCCTCCTCTTGCCCCACCTTCCCTATGGCTGCCGAGGGTTCACAGCCGAGCAATCATCCTGGGCCCTTCACTCTTACCCTCCCCCCACCCCCATGTCCAAGCTCTTGCCCAGGCCTGTCTATTTCACCTCTCCAACATCTCTCCAGTATGTCCCCTCTGCTCCTGTGGCCCTGCCCCCACCTCATGTCCTCACCGCTGCACTATTACAATAGCCTTTGAGGGGTCTGCCTGCTCCAGCCCATCCTCCATTCAGCTACTGCAGTGATTTTCTGTTCTCAGGATTTGATTGGCTTTTGTTCAGTCGTGTCCAACCCTTCATGACCCCGTCTGGGGTTTTCTTGGCAGAGATACTGGAGTGGTCTGCCATTTCTTTCTCCAGCTCGTTTTACAGATGAAGAAACTGAGACAAACAGGGTGAAGTGACTTGCGTAGGGTCACACAGCTAGTAAGTGCCTGAGGCTGGATTTGAACTCAGGAAGAAGAGTTTTCCTGACTGCATGCCCGGCACTCTATCCACTATGCCACCTAGCTGCCCCTGGAGTATGGGGAGTGTTCAGGGAGGACGAACACCTCTGGTGTGAGGGCTGCTCACTTACCTTTGGTGTCTGCCCAGCACCAGACTGTCGCCTGTGGCTCCAGGAAGCTGTGGCACACAGAGTGGCCACACCCTGGTAAACTGTGTCTGCAGACGGGCTAAGCCGGGTTGAGGCTCACCACAAGGCCTCAGGCCTATTGGAGAGCCAGGGGGATGTCTACCCCAAGCGTGTGAAGACACTCCCTGGTGGGGTTGCGTGGATGAGAACGATGTTCCAAGGCCGGGAAGGCGGCTGAAGCAGGCGCTGTGTAGCAGTTAAAGCTTGGTCAGACGTCTAAGATGCCAAGGTCATCCACTCCGTTCTGGGCCTTCGCCAGTTGTCCTGAATTTTGTCCTGCCACTGGACTTCAGAGACTGTGGAAGAGAACTCTGCCTCACTTAAATCTAATTCACGCACTGGTCAAGACATTAGCCCATGATGTCATTGGTCCTCTTTGAAAATGAAGGACAGGGCAGCTAGGTGGCACAGTGGATAGAGCACCGGCCCTGAAGTCAGGAGGACCTGAGTTCAAATCTGGACTCAGACCAAACACTTGACACTTACTAGCTGTGTGACCCTGGGCAAGTCACTTCACCCTGTTTGCCTCAGTTCCTCATCTGTAATACGAGCAGGAGAAGGAAATGGCAAACTGCTTCAGTATCTTGGCCAAGAAAACCCCAAATGGGGTCACGAAGAATTGGGCACAACTGAAAAATGATTGAACAACCACAAAATGGCTTGATTTGTCTATATTTGTTTATATGTTCTCTTCCCACCCCTCATTAGGTTGTCAGCTCTCTGAGAGAAGGGACTGTCTTTTGCCTCTTTTTGTATCCCCAAAGCTTAGTGCAGTGCCTGGCACATAGTATGTGATGGTTGACTGGTTGGTGCAAGTGCTTCCTAGGTGTAGGGTGCTAAGCTGAGCAGCAGGGACACAAAAAGCCATCTTTTCCTCCCTCTCTAGGGGAAGGGGCTCTTTGCTACAAGACCAGTCCAAAAAGGGGAGACCATCTTTGTGGAGAGGCCTCTGGTGGCCTCCCAGTTCCTCTGGAATGCACTTTATCGCTACCGAGGTAAGCTACCCTCTGTGCTCATCGCGGGGGGGTTCCCCGGTCCCTGTTGCCGCGTGTGTCCGACAGTATCCAGGGAGGTGTGGGGTGGGTGTGTATCTTTGTGATGAAATGCCGTTCTTCCCTGGGGTACGGTTACGCCTGTTACCTTCATTATATCACAGAGATTGCAAAACTAGCGATGGGATTGTGGCAAAACCGCCATGGGGACCGTAGACTCATGGGCCAGTGACTGGAGTGGAATCCGAGCCTGGGGCATAGAGACCCTTTCCCTGAGCCTGGGGACGTAGCCGTCCTTGCTGGGGACGTGGGAGCTTTGAAATGGGAAGGGACGGGGAGTCTGGTGCATTTCTCTCACGTGACCCGCTCCGCAGCTGAAGACTGGCTCGTGTTCAGGCCCCTTGGCCACTGCTGAGAAAAGAGGAAGGGACAGGAGGGGTGTGAGCCCCGACTGAGGCCCTGGGCCCCTCTTCTTCCTCATCCATCTCAATTCTGCCTCCTCTTGGTGCTTGAGTGCACGGATCATCTGGTCTCTTAGTTTCCTCCTCCCCAAACTGGACACGAGGTTTATCATGGATTCAAGAGTTTGCAAAGGGTGTTGCAGACATTGGCAGCAGAATGCAAGCCCTGAGGGGCTGTTCTTTGTGGGGCACTGAGTCTGACTGGTGAGATCAGCAGGGAGATCCCTGTGGAAGTGGTACCAGGTCGGCCTAGAGAGTTGCCCCGGGGGCCCTGCGAGAGTCAGGGGCCTGCCCAGAGCATACAGCCAGGGCATGTCAGGAGCGGGATTGGAATCCAGATCTTTGTGTGTCTGATTCCGGTCCATCACGCCACCCCTTAGGACTCAGGTTTCTGGTGAGGGATATACTCTCTAAACTAGCTTCCCCTTTCACTGTGCCCTGTGGAGGACCCTGGCGCTAGAAGGGATGACCAAGTGTGCCTTCCCTTTTGTCTCATCAGAGGCCTTGGTGTGGCTGGGGCAGGTGCCACAGATCAGGACCCTGAGGCTCAGGGAGTAATGGTGGTCATGTGTCCAGTGACCGAGGCAGGGCTTGAGACCAGACTTTGGTCTAACGGCCAGCTCTCTACTTCCTCATTAATGGCCCAGACATCTTTGGAATTTAATGTTGACCGAGTTGGTTCTGTGGCAGAAAGCTGGCAGCATTTTGATACCTAGGACTCCAGGGCTGATGGTATTTGCTGCTGCTTGTGGGGCCGGGGCATCAGGAAGGGCCCCTCACCAGCTCCCACTGCCCCGCGTTCAGAGGCTGGTGGTGCCGGTAAGAGGGAGAAGGAAGAGGAGACGTCTGTTCCTCAGGGCACCCCTGGGCCAACTGTCGAAGGATGGTCCCTGTCCTCAGAGAGCCACGGTCCAATGTGGGGAGCAGGGAGAGAGAAGCTAGTGAGAAGGACCCTTGAGTGTGAGTTCATTAGGTTAAAAGACTCGTGAGATGGGGCAGAGGTGGCCGGGGCAAGCTCCGCAGAACATGGGGATTTTGAGATAGGTTTTGGGATGAGACACCTGCCTGAGGGGAGGAGCCTGCGACTGAGCTTCTGTGTGTGACTCGTTTGTCAGCCTGTGACCACTGTCTCCGGGCCTTGGAGACCGCAGAGGAGAATGCCCAGAGGTTGTCGGGGAGGGCCTGTGGTGCCCTGCCTCATCCTGAGCAGTGCAGCATTCGGAAAGATCTCCACCAGCTGTGTCCTCACTGTCAGGTGAGACTCGGCCGAGGGGCGGAGGGGAGAGGGGAGGTGGTGGTGGGCCACGGGGAAGAGCCAGAGGCTCTCTGGGGCTAGTAAATGAATTACAGCTGATGTTCAAACAGTGTCTCAGGTTTGTGAAGCACTTTTCTGATGTTTCAGCAGTCCTGGTAGGTGGGGGCTGCAGGTATCTGTTTCCCTGTTTTACAGATGGGGAGACAGAGTCTCAGAGAGGTTGTCTGCCCAGGGTCTTGTGGTTGGCAAGATCCTTAGCTGTGCAACCCCAGTGAAGTCGCTGTCCTCTCTGGCCGCAGTTTTCCTCATCTGTAAAATGAGGGAGTTGGACTTAGCAGCCTCACAGATCTTTTCCGCTTGGAGAAGCAGGGTTTGAGTGGAGATCCCTACTGAATCCCTGAGTCTTTAGTGAGAGCACGTGGGTGACCGTCACGATGAAGACAACAGCAGTCATAAGAATTCACCTCCAGATGGGATCTGTAAAAGGATGGTGATTCCATAGCGGAGTCACAAGGCCTTCCAGCGCAGCGTCCACCGGATGTTGGCAGAGACGCATGCACAGGGGGCTGAATCGGGCCCATTGGGTCTGGGATCGACATCACAAACTCTGTTTACCCCAGGTGATGCCCGGTGGGTGACCTTCAGCCTCGGCGATCAGTATGAAATAGGCAGTGACACAGAAAAAACTGCCCAGCACATCACTGGACCACCTACTGAATACCTTCTGAAAAAGACCTTGAAATGTCCCGGAGAGCTCAGTCAGCAAATTGGCCTGGACTTCAACCAGCCCTTTGCCTCTGATGGCCCAAGTGTTTCTGATGGATGTTTTCATACTAGGCTCTCGGTTACCTCCAAGCCGTGTGGATAGTGAGGTGGCAGAGGAGACCAAAATGAGGGGGTCAGGAAGAGGTGCCCCTCTCATCCGGTTGGACCTGCCTGCTTCTCGGGCTGTATCCAGGAGCTCCCGGAGGATGACCTGGGCTCCTCTCCCTTCTTCGGGAGGCCACAGACCATAGAGCGTTAAACAGAAGAGCCTAAGGCGAGTGGGAGCGCCCCAGCAGCCATCCCAGAACCCTTTCCCTGTGAGCTCCATCCACCAAGATGAGAACAGCTCATCACAGTAACAGCTCCCATTTCTGAGACTTTGGAGATGCTGCAGAGGGTTTTTGGGCCACGATCGTGGCCCATCCCCACACTTGCCTCAAGAGGTCGTCGGTGCAGGTATCCCTGTTGCACAGAGGAAGTTGAGGCTGGGGCTGTGACTGGCGTGTGATTAGAGCCAGCTTCAGGGATTTCCTTGGTGTGTGCCTTCTGCCACTGCAGGCTTCTGGAGGGCGTGGAGGGTGGTTGTAGTGGAGGAATCTGACCCTTTGCAGCTGACCTAGGGCTGGGCCTGTTCAGACATTGCCACAGTGGCCCTCACATGACAGACACACAGCTCCTGGCCAGGCTGGCCTGTTTTTAAAGTCTGGCCTTTTGTAAGCTCTGTTGGTGAAACCTCCAGGAATGAATGAATAAATGAACGAAAAAGAAAAGCATTTATTAACCGCCTACTAAAGGCAAAGCACTGTGTTGAGGAAGAAATAGATAAGCAGAGTTCCTGCTCTCAGGGAGTTTGCACTCTAATGGGGGAGACTCATTCCGGAGGTTTTAGCTGCAAGTAGAGGCCAGCGTTGGAGAAGGACGTTTGTGTCTCACAATGGAACCATTTCCTAGGCTCCCAGAAACATTGGCATAGAGCTGGAACGGTTTTCATCTAGTCCAACCCTCTTACTTTATAGCTGAGAAGACTGAGGCCCAGAGAAGGAAGTGACCTGCTTAACGTCATACCGGCAGGCCGTGGGGCAGCCAGGCTTTGAACCCAGCCCACTCTACCGGTGTCTGCACCACGCTATCTCACTATTTCGATAAGTCTTGCTCATTTCCTCTGTGCCTTGCCTCCCAGACTCTCCCGTCATGAGTGACTGGGATATCACTTCATTCTCTTCCTGTGCCTCAGTTTCATCATCTAGGTTTGGTGGTAGTAGGTGGTAGGATCAAATGAGATAGCAGATGTTATCTGTCAATGACAACATTAACAAAAATAGCTGACCCTTTTCTGATGCCTAAAGGTTCTTGCAGAGTCCTTTTAACCTAGAAGGCAGGGCCGGGTCTTCCCCTTCTATCTGAATCTCTCCCTTGCCCCACTCCCTCATCTGAAATTCCTGAGTAGGAGGTCTAGCCTCCCCCCCCCGCAACTCCATGTTTGCATTGCTACCTAATTCATTTATTATATGCTTGTTGTATGCATCATGGAGAGCTTGATGCTGGCGGAGATAGACACAAATGAGAAGGTCTAGGGAAGTAAGACCTGCCCAAGTGAGTCTGATATAAATTATGGGAAGCCTCTGACTAGGAAAGGGAAGAAAACTGACTATGCTGCTGATACCTACCCTGAAGGTGCCATGGCTCTGGGAGAACAATCGTTTCCATTTGTGGGGAGCTCTCTTAGGATCACAGGATCATCTTCTTCCTCTAACGTCCTCTGGGGCCTCCTTGGGGCTGTGCGCATTTAGGTTTAGCATTGTATAATTTCAGTTTATTTCAAC